AACATTTACATAATTTCTGTTAGGCAAAGTTATATAGTCCCTAAAAAGGGATTGTTTTAATTAATTACAATATAGTTTATATCGGGCTTAATGTATTAAATACATTAGTGAACATGATATTATTATGAAACGCTTCGTATTCTAGTATTTGTTAGAAGAGTAAAGACGGTCACTGCTCTAGTTGGCGATTTCTTGCAACGCTGGCTGGATACCGTACAACTTCTTCTTCCCCCATGTGTAATCTAGAAAAAATGTTTATAATAATCTCTAGGATTGCAATATGGTTGAGTAAGTGTTAATAAAAAATTTGAAAAGAGATTACAGCGCTTGTATAACTGTATACCACACTCCAACAAAACAGTCTTGATACAACATCAGACGAAACCACGAGGGCGAATTTCATGGACTGACTAACGAAATAATACAAAAAGGTTATTTTGTTTGACTTTCTTGTGGCGCACAAGATATACATAAACTAAAATCACTGTTCATATCAACTTAAACAACATTCGCAGAACCATAAATAAATTTAATTAATTGAAATAAAAATTTTTCTAGATTCAGCATGGTAAGAATAGCCCGTTATCCAGACAGCGTTAAAAAAAATTGTCGATTCGAGCGCTGGCTATCTTTATGCACATTCACTGCGAATTACTGAATAATATAATAATAAATTACATTATAATAGGATTTATTATATGCTTGGTAAGTACCGCTGCCAGTGACATCTGTCAGTAGTTGCGACAGTTAAGTGGTAGAAACAAAAAATTTGTTTGTTAACCATAAAAAAGCGAACAGTTTGTTTTAAATATATATAATTATTGATGTAGCTTACGTCTTTAACTATCCATGCCGGAGCCGGGCTGCGGAAAATAGGCATGACCTAGCGCGGAGGCTCACCCTTCCATGTTAGTCGCACAGCCAAGCGCAAAATACCATTATTTAAGCAACTTTAACGATAGGTAAGAGGTTGGAACTTTAGTAAGTTGTTCACTACCTATTGAAGAATATGATCCTATAAAAAAATAGCGCAACTGCACCACAACGTTTTTAGGGACATTTTACAAAAGTGCTTTTTTTGCATTAAGCTGCGGTTTGCAAAAATAAAATTTGTACAAGTATTTTTCCAATCTTGCTATAATTTTATAGTACTTAGCGAACATAAACGCTGTAACCCATTAAAATTGTAACTCTTAATCTTTATAGAACAAAAGTTATAAATTTTTGAAATTTTGAGCGAAATCTAACGTATTTTACAATTTGCGATGTCACTGATGGACCAATCGTGTTTATCCACAGCTTATTTTTTCCATCGCCTCAGCTTATTAAAAGCTTTTTTTTTTAACTCAATTTTAAAATCGGTGTCGGACGATGTCCGACGGTGTAAGACGGTTACTTCAATTTTCTAAACGTCTACTTGTAACATCTTTCAAGATAAGTAAAAATTGGTCCCAGCGTTGTTTTTATATCGTTGATTGCCCTTACACCGATAAAAAATTTCGAGTTGATGTTTTACAGTTTTCCTAGGAGATGGTATGAAAATGAGTGAAAAAAATGGATTAATGCCGTGCGTCGCATAACATATAACCTTCATACGATAAACTTACCTCAATCGTTACATTATAATTATACGTTTTATTTTGTTTACACGCAGCTCCAGGAGTTTCTCTTGTGACCCGGTCCTTTAAATATTGCCAATCGTCTTCTCATTACTCTTCAATAACATTACCTACGTGATAGTTTTCAACTAGTTTTTTACCCTTTTGCAATGTTTTCTTCTCAAAACCTTTTGTTTTCACTACTTGAGAACCAATACCAATAGTTATGACCATATCCAAAGTAGAACAACATGAAATATTCTTAATTAATTAAACATAAAAGTTACTTGATCATAACTAATGGTACAGCAATACACCATTCCTCGTTTCTACCACCCATGTATTTGAATGTGAATCCGCGAGATAGCTATCGGCACCAGAGATACTTGCCAAGCATGTAAACATCCTTTGATGTTGCTTAGCCGTGCACACTTAATTTAAATGAAATATGTCAACAGGCCGATTCAAGCCCATATCCAAGCAAAGAAGTATGAGAATATACAGGTCAGTGCCATTTGTGTCGCTAATGCCATCTGTAACAGCTCATTTACATATCCTACAAAATCAGCCAACAATTAGTGATGGAATATTATGCTTTTTTGCAGCACAATATCACTGTAGCATCGAAATCATCCTTGATAGATGCAAAAAGCCATGAACTCGTTGCTCCGTACAGCCAACTATTCATTGAACAAGCGCCACATGGTGGTACGTGAGTCTCTACAGCAACATCTCACCATTGCCGTCATGGAAATGCAGAGCGCTCCTGGTGTGTTGGAAGCACAGCCTGTCGAAATATGCGATGAAGCTTTGGCTCTGTGCTCTTGTCTCGAGGCCATCTTTCTACATGGGCTGAAGGATAGCTTACTGAATCGAGTCACTGAAGCTATCAGTGGCCCGGATTACGATGCCATGCCTCAGCCCAGCTTTTGGGGACCGCTGCTTGTCATCTCTCACCGGCAGATCATCAATCAGATACAAGGACACAGTCAGGTTAGAGCTCCAATAATAAAAAATATGTCTAATGTTCTCTTGAACCGAAGTACAGTACTCTAACAAAACATATCTCGTATTTAGTCGTGTTATATTGACAACGAGTACATCTCAGATAGTGCTGCCAATGCTGGAGCTTAATACCAAATTTGCCAGACTGACAGCATTACATTTCATGGGAATGGCTCCACTTCCATTAATTACAAATGTTTTTTCATGTAATAATTTATGGAATCGGTACTTCTTACACAACATTGATATACTTTATCGAATTCAAATTAATTTGAAGTGATTACTACATTCATTGCGATTACTTCATTTCGTTACATAGTCTAAATTAATCCCACACTATAGCTAGGCGCGGCTAGTCAACTCATTAGATGTGCCACATGTATAGGTATAGCGAATACATATTGTTTACCTGAAGAGCCCTGTGACTCTTGTTTTTATTGTTCTTCTACTGATTTTTTTTCTCTTGAATAAATTTTTTCTAGTAAACTATTCTAATGTCTTGTTGTAAGTACTGGTGCTATAAACTACCACATGAAACTAGAATTGTAGTTAATTAAAATGAAACCGTTCTCATAAGATTCAATACTTTTACGCTGGCCAATCTGGTACTGAACTCTGACATTAGCGGTGCCATAGGCACCTGAGACGTGTTTGTAGTTAATATATAATTTCTTAGGATTCCCTTGACTGATATACTTTTTTTTATCAAAAAAATTTTTTTTTTTTTTTTAATTTTATTTCTTTTGATTTTTGTCACAGCTAAAAAAATTAACTTTAAAGCACATAAGCTTTTGTCTTGTCTTTTATCATGTCAGTTTTATTAGAATCGGTCACGATATCTGTTAGCGATCTCGCGAACTATGGAGGAATGGCTTTTCGAAACTTATTGTCAGACCGAAAGTGAAGTGAAAAATGTACATACAGTAATAAATTTTTAAGAAGACTTTCCTCTTACATTTATTTCATGTATTTACTATGAATATTCGAGCATCACTATCTGAGTCGATAAGCCAACATTAAACGAAAATACAAGGCTGACGGGATAGTGTTGCGGGCTCTTCGCAAAAAAAGGAGCGTGACAGGCTCTTATCAATATGTTGAAAAATCGATATTATGACGCAGGAAATAGAAATTAAATTGCGCCTTTGCACTTATATTATCAACGTATCAGCTGTTTATTAATACATCACCGTCGAACATAATCAAACACTTTGAAAAGATACATGACATTTCTCAGCGTTACGGGCTTATGAATAAATTTTTACAGGCTCTTTTAAATAAGTTGAATATACGAGATTGTAACGCACCAAATAAAAATAAAATTTATCTTAATCAACCGCCTTCTGAGTTTATAACCAAACGCTTTGAAATGATACATGACATTCTTTAGTGTTACGAGCTCATAGTTTTTATCTTAAGGAGTTCGAGCTTACTAATCTGCGAGACTATAGCACCGGATTATCGTCACAGAAAAATTGGGAAAATTTTCTGTCATATGCTCTATTTTCGTAAAACACAAAGTCCAAATTGGAATGATAAAATTGAATTGCGTGCATTTGAGAGCAGATTTTCCGTTGAAATAATAGATTTGTCAAATTTCGGCCCCGGCACTTAAAGGAGGTTCGGTCATTTTTTCCGGGGTGAAGGGGGGTTAGTGGGTGTGCGGGAGCTCTTACAAGACATCGTGTTATGGTAGCTCCCTTGTCTACATATACACATATATATAAAGTTTGACAGTCACATCACTGAAATCCGAGTACAGCCGAGTGTAGCAGAAGCAACCGAAGTCCAGCTGCAGTCGAGCACACATACCGATAGGTACATACGTACACCTAGCAGAAGTGTATTCTTACGTTGGGTGCGTGTACAGTGTTTGTTATTTTGTTATTGATAGAGTGAAAAATGGATGAACACTCAAAAAAAAGTTATCAATGACTTGAATCTCCAGAAGTAGAAAAAAAGCCAGTTTATAAAAAAAAGAATTTCACTTTGACCTCCAAAAGAAAAAAAGCATTGAAAAAGTTATACAAAGTAAGGTAACCTGTCAGAGACGTCTGAGATGTTTCGTTGAATTTTGCATTTTTCTAATAAAATATCAATAAATTATTTTCTTAGCATAACAAAGTATTATATATTTATAACATTTAAACTCTGAATTACTTTCAGGACAACGTTCAATCCATCTAATGTTGACTCCAGTTTTGCAGAAAAATTGAAAGTTATTGAAACTTTTTTGTTTTCCAAACAATTGTGGTGCAGTAACTGCAACATTCCTCTCTCTAGATTTTGCGACCCAGAAGCTGCAACGAGGATTAAATAATCGATATACCGTCAGATGCTGTAAGTGTCCTTTTGTTCAAAAAAGTACTGACAAATTCAGTATTTGGAGACAAGAGACAGTTTGTATTAATAAATACATAAGCTGCCATGGGTAATTTGGATTATTTTTATCTAACATTATTTTGATTAAATTTTTAACTATTTTTCTATTTGCTAGGTATGCTGGATTCAAGCATCGAAGAAACCCAGTTTAATTTAGTGCTGTCATCTGATTTAATAGGAAGATATGAAAGAATGGTTGGGACGCAGGTAGAAAATGTTACCATCGAAAGCTGTAGTATGTCGTTGGGAGAAATGAAAATTTTAATAAAATCTGCAAATGATGTTGTTAATGAGTGAGTAAACTGTAAATAAGCAAAGTGACATAAAATCGAACCTACCTGCAACATAATTAAATAAGTGTGGTTATAATACGCCGGAGCGTCTCGATAACTTTTGCAGTTGTCTACCGGCGGTTTATCGAGCTGCATCAGGAATGTAGATGATAGTCGTGCAGGTGGGTATCCTGGTTACCGACGACACTCTTCCCCAATAGACAAGTAACCTAGGTCTACATCCACCCTGAATCTCCAGGATTGACGAGTGCCACCAATAATAAATTAATGTAACCGATAACGTCTCTGGTTGAACACCAGGAGACGTATCTAACCAGAGCACAACCTGCTCCAACACTTCAGAATTGTGTGGCTGTTCCACCATCCCGCCTGGTGCCGTCAGAGAATTTTTTGCTACAAATATAAGTCAGGGAAGACAGCCCTGAGGGGCACGGACAGCCACAACGGCTACCTCTCAGTGGTCGTCCCAACGGCATAGCATACCCACAGAAATGGTAGTCTCCAGACCTACTTTCACAACTAACGATAAGTGGTTGGTTATCCGAGGAACGACCCGAAGACAAGATATTCTTTGGTCAGTGGTGTACCTCCCTCCATCACAGTCTCCGTACATAGAGACTTCGAGGGTAAGAGTCAAGCTACCTGCAGCCAGCTCTTTATCATCAAAAATAATAATAAGAAATAGCTGGAAGTTTCACCACTTGCCCTTTTCAGGGCCATTATAATTCTACGTTCCCTACTTAACTATCAATCTCATCGGTTCTTTTAAAGGCCACCTAAGTTTAAACTACCTTGCCAACAAATACATTTTTACTACCATTTCCGAAAGCGATTTGTCGAATAAAAGACTATGTTAACTTAAGACGGCCACTATTAAACCAAGTCAGTCATTCTCTGCCAGTCGTCACGAGCGGAGTTGTTCTTCGCATGGCTGGGACCCCCGGTGACCGACAACCTTATATTACCCTCTCGATTCTAAGCATTCAACCAAGATTCATCGATTCTCTCGAAAATCTGCGCTGGGCGAACCTAACAGCTATGAAGGGAAAAAAAACTTGAGCTAACGGGACAGTCCCCAACGGGCAAGCATCACGATCCAATCTTCCCACCTTAGATCACCAAAACAACTAAGTCTGCAAAAAAAGATGCTTTAGACACCAACATCTTCGGCGTTATAACAGGAGACGTTGGGAAAGAACTCTACAACTAGCTCCAAAGCTTCGGACTTTGTAATTTTTCTCCCCATCAGTCTGGGGCTTCAACAGCGGGCCAAAGAAGATCACCCTGACGTATCCAGGCAGTCACAATTGCTGTTAACTTCAGTCAAGAAAGAGTATACTTAAAAAGCTCACCGGTCTTTTTTAGGGCCATCGGACGTCGAACTACCTTGCCAACACATATATTCGAACCTAACAAAGTTGACAGAACACAGCCGTTAGAGGTCTTAAGCATGCCAAAAGTCGCAAGAGGGTGAATTAGAAAGAAAACTTAATATGTATCTAATGAATACAATTTCAGGCATCAAGAAACTGACGCAGAAAATTTATCGAGATTGGAAGAACAGTGTCAAAATCGACAAATAAAGAATCCATTACGTGATAGATCAGCTTTGTATTGTACCCTCACTGTAATCTCTGAAATATTTTAGATTTTTTAAATAAATAGAAAATGTATTTATACTTTCGTGGCGATAAAAAATGTAGAGATTAAGCTTCAGAACTTTTTTGCCCTAGTTATAAAGTGTGTCTAGTAATTAGGGTGAGATAAAAAAAAATTTGTTTTAACTATATATATTTTTTAGGAGTTTTAAATCTTTGCAGCTTTAAAAAATAGCCCTTTTTGTAAATTATGCGGGAGAAACTGCAAATCAACTGCCCCTTACGGCCAACGATTATTTTATGGCATAAGGAGCGCACGGTACTCTTGAGCATGATTACATTTTTTTTTAATTTTTACTGATTATTATTTGACTAAATAAACTGTATGGATTCCGAACAAATATGTTTTTTCCGCCCTCGGGTGGTTTTGGGAGGCTGGTACTTCCTCGGGCGAAAAAGCAGTTTTCCGGAACTCGTTCGAAAAGTCTCCTTTACGAACCTCGTTACGTCCCTCGCCTTCGGCTCGGGCCGCAAACGTCTCGGTTTGCAAACAGAAACTTTTCAAACTCGTAGGAAAATTACCATTTCTTACCATTGGCCCAAAGTGCAACTGCCGCTTTGTACCCTCGGGTCACACTTTGCGCCCTTGTAATCACTTTAGGCCCACGGGCAGAAAAGTTTTTTGCGCCCTCCGGGCCCAAAGTACTTTTCTGCC